TATAAATCGTATGGCCGCCTGCCCCCGGCGATTATCTGAGCGGGAGTCCTTGTCAACACGAGTTCGGCCGTGAACATCGATTCTTTCGAACAACTCACGAGCCGAATCGAACGTTTGCGAATACCAAATATGGATCAACCCCTGCTATACTAAACTTGTGATACAATGTTCAATCTTCTTACATTATTTCCTCTAACACTAATTCTTTTGACATTATTCACCTTCGTAAAATTGTATGTTGACGCTTAATAGGGACGATGTGGACAAAACATGTGCTTGCCTCTCAAGCTTATTCACCTTTGTTTCTTTACGGCGCCCAAACACGCTACGATATAAAACTTGCTCAGTCATGCGCAAATTCAGTATCTTCCTCTTTCTGCCTAGTTTAAGCTCTTATCCTTTGATAACTTTGCCTTGTTCAACCTTTTATCCTTTTATAATTTTATAATTACTTGATAATTGATCATGTTTATAGTAATCTATTCATAATATAATCGCGATGTGAAGTTTTGTACTTGCCATCTAAAGATAAAGTTTAATTACCCAAGTTGGAGGTAATGCGAGACCGGTAACGGTTAGTCCACAACGCAGCCAAAACAACTGGTGCATCGGTTTAACACAAAGAACAACGAGCCACAAGAGCCACGAAAACACGAGGGAAAGGAAGAGGTACCCATTAACACAACTTGTCATTTTATTACGATGGCGGCTACAATCAGAACCTACAAAGGTCTTGTCACCAAACGCAAGCAAACGATTTTCAATTGGTTAGGCGAAAGCAGCACTCTTTTACTCACTCCTTGCGAAGAATCACTGAAACAAGAACGCGCTCATGACGTAAGCGTAGCTTTGAAAGAATGTGACGAAAATTTTACTTTTTTGGAAAGCTCGATGGCAAAATTGGCAAATGCCTACGACGAATACGAAGATCACTATGCTGATGATGACGAACAACTAAGCAAATACATAGAAGCCGCTCAGGAAGTTAACCATGAACCTTCACACTCACAAATCGAAACTGAGGCGCGTTCTACATGACTGTACAGAAGAAAAGGACAACCAAAGGTCACTTGGAGCAGACCGACACATAGATGCGAACCCACAGCTCTAAGTAAACTTCCAGTACTTCCTATTCCTATCTTCAGCGGAAAAAGATGGAATTGGAACAACTTTTGGACGTTGTTCAAGGCAAACATGCATGATCAAGAC